GTGGTAGAGATTGGGTGTGGATTTAGAAAAGTGGTAAGAGATTGGGGGTGTGGATTTAGAAAAGTGGCAGAGGTATGTGGATTTAGAAAAGTGGTAGTAGGGGGTGTGTGGATTTAGAAAGTGGTAGAGCTTAGTGTGATTTAGAAAAGTGGTAGAGCGATTGGGGTGTTGGATTTAGAAAAGTGGTGCTTGGTAGATGTGGATTTAGAAAAGTGGTAGAGATTGGGGTGTGTGGATTTAGGAAAAGAATTGGTGTTGATTAGAAAGTGGTAGAGCTTGGGTGTGTGGATTTAGAAAAGTGGTAGAGATGGGGTGTGTGGATTTAGAAAGTAAAAGAGGTGTGTGGATTTAGAAAAAGTGGTAGAGATTGGGGTGTGTGGATTTAGAAAAGTGGTAGAGATTGGGGTGTGGATTTAGAAAAGTGGTAGAGATTGGGGGGTAGAAAAGTGGTAGAGATTGGGTGTGTGGATTTAGAAAAGTGGGTAGTTTAGCTTAGGGGTGTTTGGGATTTAGAAAAGTGGTAGAGCTTGGGTTGTGGATTTAGAAAAGTGGTAGAGATTGGGGTGTGTGGATTTAGAAAAGTGGAAGAGATTGGGTTGTGGATTGAGAAAAGTGGTTATGAGATTGGGGTTGGATTTAGAAAATGGAAGAGATTGGGATGTGTGGATTTTAGAAAGTGGTAGAGATTGGATTGTGCGATTTAGAAAAGTGGTAATAGATGGCCGGTGTGGATTTAGAAAAGTGGAAGAGATTGGGATGTGTGGATTTAGGAAAGTGATAGAGATTGGGGTGTGTGGATTAGAAAAAGTGGTTAGAGATTGGTGTGGATCTTAGAGTGGTAAAGTGGTAGAGATTGGGGTTGTGTGGATTTAGAAAAGTGGCAGAGATTGGGGTATGTTGATTTAGAAAAGTGGTAGAAAATGGGGTGTGTGGATTTAGGAAAGTGGTAGAGATTAGGGTGTGTGAATATAGAAAAGTGTTGAGGGCTATGGAGCTTAGGGCCACCTGTGTGGATTAGAAAAGTTGGTGGTAGAGATGGGTGTTGGATTTAGAACCCAAGCTTGGTAGAGCTGTAGGGTGTGTGAATATAGAAAAAGTGTTAAGAGCTTGGGGTGTGTGTGATTTAGAAAAGTGGGTTTTAAGAGATTTAGGGCGCTGTGTGGAATTTAGGAAACTGGTAGAGGATTAGAATGTGTGTGAATATAGAAAAGTGGTAGAGCTTAGGAGGTGTGTGGAATTTAGAAAAGTGGTTAGAGATTGGGTGTGTGTGTGATTTAGGAAAGTAGTAAAGATTGGGGTGTGCTCTGGATTTAGATAAAGTGGTAGAGGATGGGGTGTGGATTTAGAAAGTTGGTGAATTGTGGTGTGTGGATTTAGAAAGTGGTTAGAGATGCGGGTATGTGTGAGATTTAGAAAGTTGTTTAGACGATTGGTGGTGTGGATTTAGAAAAAGTGGTAGAGCTTAGGGTTGTGGATTTAAGAAAAGTGGTAAGCCTTGGTGTGGATTTTAGAGAAGTGTAGAGATTGGGAGTGTGTGGGGATTATAGAAAAGTGTGAAAGAGATTGGGTTGTGGATTTAGAAAAAGTTAGGTAAGAGATTGGGGTCGTGGATTTAGAGCAAAGATGAGAAGATTGGGAATCCGTGTTGGATTTAGGAAAAGTTGGTAGAGATTGGGTTGTGGATTTAGAAAAGTGTTTAGAGATTGGGGGTGGGTTAGAAAGTGGAAGAGATTTGGGTTTGGATTTAGAAAAAGTTGTAGTAGAGCATTCGGGTGTGGATTAGGAAAAAGTGGAAGAGATGGATGTGCTGGATTTAGGAAAAGTGGGTTAGAGATATGGCGTTGTGGATTTAGAAAAGTGTAGAGATTGGGGCTGTGGATTTAGAAAAGTGGAATGAGGATTGGGATGTGTGGACTTCTAGGAAAGTGATAGAGGATTGGGGTGTTGCTGGATTTCAGGAAAAAGTGGAGAGATTTTGGGGTTGTGGATTTACGAAAAGTGGTAGAGATTGGGTGTCGTGGATTTAGAAAACAGTGGCCAGAGATGGCGGTATGTGGATTAGAAAAGTGGTACGACCAATGGCTTGTGTGTGGGATATAAAAGTGGTAGAGATTACGGGTGTCGTGAATATTAAAGTAAAGTGGTAGAGCTGTAGTGGAAAAATAGTGGTAGAGTTAGGGTGTGTGGATTTAGGAAAAGTGGTAGAGATTGGGCAGGAAACAAGGTAGAAGCTGGTGAGAAAAGGTAAGCTTGGGTGTGGATAGAAAAGTGAAGAGATTGGGATGTGAGGATTTAGGAAAGTGATAGAGATTGGGGTGTGTGGATATAGAAAGTTAGGTAGAGATTGGGATGTGGATTTAGAAATGTGGTAGAGCATTGGGGTGTGTGGATTAGAAAGTGGGCAGAGATTGGGGTGTGTGGATTTAGAAAAGATGGTAGAAAAATGGGTGTGTGGATTTAGAAAGTGCGCTAGAATTATAGGGTTGTGTGAATTATTTTA